CGGGTCGGGTCAACCCGGTAACTCGGGGGATCAGGTCTGGTTAGAATTTCTGACCCGTTTGCAAATTTGGGTCGGGTGAGGGTCAACCCGTTTGGACTCGGGTCAATTTTGGGTTGGACCCAAACCCAACTTAAAACCCGTTTTGACACCCGTGAATCCAGGTGATCTAGTAATGATTTGTCTCCATCGGGAGTGCTTTTCTCTAGGTACCTACACTAAACTCAGCAAACGAAAGATTGAGAATGTTCCAATTCTAAAGAAAATAAATGATAACGTATATATTGTTGAGCTAACAACTGAATTAAACACTTCGCCCAAGCTTAATGTTGCTAACATCTACCCATATTTGCCCCCGGATTTGGCTCGTGCGACTTCAACCTCGTTGGAATTGAGCTCAACAAATGCCCCGGGGGGGGGGGAGCATCCTTCTTAATGCAAGAATATTATACCATTCTCTTATGGTACCTCACTTTCATAATGCCCTTTTTGTTATTACAGTACTAGCATATACTTTTAGTTATTTTGGTTTTATATGGTAATAGTTTGTTATGCAGCATATATAAGCTGCAGAAAGAAAGAATACAGGCATACATATACTATTACATATTTCTAAATATTACTCTGCTGCTTCTTGCGTTTTTCTTATTCTGTTGTCTTCTTCCGAGGATTACCACATGAGGAAGCTGACATGAGTGCCTGGCAATGGTAGGAGACGGCGGTGAGCGGTGAGCTGTGGGAGGTTGTTGGTGAGTAGTGACATCAAGTGAAGCTTTACTCATGTGGTGTATGTTTTTGGAATCTGACAATTAGGAAAATTCCTAATACTACAAAAATGAACTAAATGGTGTATTTCAAATACTTTAAAAATTTTATCCTGCATTCATTTTGATTCAAATCAATATCAGTATTTTCAAAACTCTTGCAATTGAAATACTTTACATCCATTTTAATTCAAACCAAGCAATGCCTAAATCCTACTTTTAGCCAAACAGCCAAAAAACATATAGAGCGAATGTTTCTCTACAAACAAAAAACACAAGGAGCCAGATATCATTAGAAATCCAACTATTTTCACAAAGATGAAAGAACATCCAATAAATTTTCAATCCACCGAAAAAAAAAAAAAGAAGCAACAGCCACTTACAAGAGAACGCCGTCCTCTCTCACGCTATTATTGACTTCGATGATCTTAGATCCGGCCAATAGCTGGATCGCCAGCTCCGAAGTCACGATAGGAGTAATCCCCAGTTCCATGACAGTTCTCGGTTCGGAGCATGCATGAGACGCATCCAATAAAACGGTTCCGCCCCTGCGGTCGAGAGGATTCTTACTGCAAATCAGAAAGATAAAGAGCGATATGACGGTGTAGTCTCTCTGAATGGTATTCTGCGATCGGCGCTCTCAACTTCCGGCCAGATCCCTAGAGAAGGACTCACCAAATGTTACACCCTAAATCCTCCCGCCATTTCTGTGCTGTGAGAGTGTGAGGATTGCAGATAAAATTTTCTTGGAGCAAAATCATAATTAAAGCTTGATATATCATCAAAAAAATTATCTTGATCGGGCACCAATATCAAGGCAAAAATCAAGTAGAAAGCTAAAAAAATTATAATCGATACCATCTGAACTCCTCCAAAATACGAACTAAGGGCATCTCCAACCGAAAAATTCATTTTTCACTCCAAAATACAGTAATACATCAAAATGCAGTAACTTGTTTCCAACCGAACTCTATTTTCTAACACAAAAAAAGAATATTCCTAGTATATTCTTCTCCATATTTCATTTTACATCTTTTTAATCATTAAAAAAAAAAAAAAACAAATGGCGGGTGAACAGCGCCACTGTTCACTGGCGACCTTATGCCGTAGAAAATAGCGCTCCGTTGGAGCGACATTGAGCACGGCAAACACTCGTTTGCGTATCCATTGGAGATGCCCTAAGGACATCAAATTCTAGCATTACCGACTGCATCATTAGTCACGAGAAATTATTTGGTGCTGAGTCCAAAGGTAGCTTTACTTTTGGATTCTAATTAAAATTTGACCAGTGTAGTGGACACGTGAAAATTTAATCGGATTTCATTTTTTAGATAATTTTAATTTTCATCGCGGCATCTCACGGCTAACCAAGTAAAAGCATAGCAAAATGACAGTGAAAGCACAATAAAAGGGCAGCACAAGTGAATTCTCAACAAAAAACACAATAAAAGCGTAGCAAAAAGCAGCTAAAACGCAGTGAATTACATATTGTAAATTTCTTAAAAAAATTCCTTACAAGAGAGCATACCATTTGGATTAAAAAGCTACTGCTAGATTTCGGTAATCAACATAACAGCAAAATTGATCTATTTTGTGATAATACCTCGGCGATTGCATTGGCCAACAACCCAGTGTTCCATGCAAGAACCAAACATATCGAAATAGATCAGCGGTTCGTCAGAGATCAAATTCAAACTAATAACATTCAATTGACACCTATTAGCACTACAGATCAAGTAGCAGACATTTTCACAAAATCTCTATCTACCAACAGATTCAAGTTTTTAAGATCCAAACTGACGATAGCTTCTGAATCATCAGTTTGCGGGGGAATATTAGATACTAAATAATGTAACAATGTATTTATTATAACATCTATACATCTGACACGTGTAACTAGGATTAGTATAATCTATATATATGCTACCGTCTCCTATTGTAAAGGGAAGACACTGTAATGAAAAGTTGGCTAAGTTCTTCTTCTTTACTTCTCTCTGGTTTATACAAAAACTTTTGCAATTGAAATACTTTACATCCATTTTACTTCAAACCATGCAAAGCCTAAATCCTACTTTTAGCCAAACAGCCAAAAAAACATATCAAGAGCTTGCCTGATAGAGCGAATGTTTCTCTACAAACAAAAAATACACAAGGAGCCAGAGATCATTAGAAATCCAACTATTTTCACAAAGATGAAAGAACATCCAACAAATTTTCAATGCACAGAAAATAATAAGCCCATTAAAAATAATAAGAAGCAACATCCACTTACAAGAGAACGCCGTCCTCTCTCACGCTATTATTGACTTCGATGATCTTAGATCCGGCCAATAGCTTCATCACCAGCCCCGAAGTCACAATAGGAGTAATCCCCAGTTCCATGACAGTTCTCAGTTCGGAGCAAGCATGAAACGCGTCCAATAAAAGGGTTCCGCCCGTGTTCGAGAAGATTCTGACTGCAAATCAGAAAGAAAAAGAGCGATATGACGGTGTAAATGACCTTCTCGGTATTCTGCGATCGGCGCTCTCAATTTCCGGCAAGATCGCTAGAAAAGGACTCACCAAATGTAACACCCTAAATCCTCCCGCCCCCCCTAAACCCCCCCGCCATTTCTGTGCTTGTGAGGATCGCAGATAAAAAATTTCTTGGAGCAAGATGTGATTCTTATCTGCCGTTCAATCATTTTAATATTTTAATTTTAATATAACTGATAAATGATTAAATTAATTAGTATGAAAAATTAATATCATCGTAAGAATTCTAGCACTAGCTACTACATGATCCGTACTCACAATATTCATTTGAGATTTTGAGACAGCAAGCAAGCCGCCCACAAATAATTATGAGCGGACTAAGTTGTTGTCTTGTAAGGCTCATAATGACCAACCGGCTATCGTATTGACGACGACTTTGAAGGTTCAGTCTCTTTAAACGAAGGGGTGGAGTTAATATTTTTATTTTTATTTTTTTAAGAGCAGGTAAAATAAAATTATGACATAATTTTTGAGAAAAAATAAAAAATAAAATCTTTAAATTTAGATAAATATATTTATCGAGGGAGATAAATTAATTAAAAAAATAAATTCAGACATTTGGAGCTCTTCGTGGATCCATCCCTACTAAGACAACCAAAATTTACGACTGATTTGCAGCGTCCTGATCAGGATTGTTGATCAATTCCGTATCTTGTCCCCTTGTCATGTCGGTGCATGCAAAAGAATAAAATTAACTAGTCATACATTTGAAAACGGTTATAAATACCACATAATAATAAAATTTGTTTAGTGAATAATGTTAAACTTTTATCATAACTCAAAGTTCTTAACATGTTTGAATCTATAATGAAAAAAAATAAAAAATTCAACCATCTTTACATTAATACATAGTAATAAATTTGTTAATAATTGAAAAATAACATTGAAAAATATGACGCTCTTTCTCTCTTTCGCTCCCGGGGGTGGGCTAGGGCTTTTGCCCTAGCCGTCGTCTCTTTGTGCCGCTGCATGTGGTGTTCTGGGTAGTTTTCTGCGCTTTTTTCGTGTGAATCTCGTTAGTCTTGTTGTATGGCTCCTCTGCGTGATCCTGGTTTTTTGGTTGGTCCGTCTTCGCTGTCTTTTAAGGATGCTCTTGCGGGTTCGGTTTCTTCTCCGAAGGTTTTTCCCGATTTGAAGGTTTCCTCTCATCGTGGATTGCCTGCGCTGTTGATTTCTGAGGCGGAAATCCATGATTTGGCTGCTCCGTTTGAATTTGCTCTTGTTGGGAAATTTCCTAGTCGTAGACCTTCCATTGAGGCCATTAGGAGTTTTTTTGACATATTAATGGCTTAAGAAGATAGAATTTCAAAAAAAAGAAATTTTCATGATCCTTGTTAGCACATATAATGAATTTTATTAAAATTCTATCATTGATAAAATCTTTCATTCTTTCGTTAAACTGGGGACATTAGGAGTTGTTTACAAAAATGAGAATGTAAAGATATTGATTTTGATGGCCTATAATTTAGATGTTTCACATCTAGTATTTGTCAGACACAGCTGGTTTCGTTTTAGACAATTTTTTTTACTTTCACGAATTTTTTCTATTATAAAATTACTTAAAAAAGTAATAAATAAATCACTCCAAATGAAACCTTAAAGATATCAATGATATAATTTAGCATCCAATGAAATTTGCTCGTAAATAAACAATAATCTTGTAGTGTATAAATCCTTGAATATTGATTGTTTTGATGTTGAAGATAAAAATTGATGATGTGAATCTTAATTTTAGTTTTGAATAGGGATATATATATATATATGAAGAAGAAGAAGTCCCACTTATTCATTAATATTACTAAATTTTAGGACTGACATACATTTTATCAGTCAACGGTCAAGGCTTGAGCCTTGAGATTTAGTCAACTTTTTAATTCAAAATATTTTTTTTTTTGGGAAAATTAATTCAATAAAAGGACAGTCCATGTGATCACTAGTAGGATTCTACCATGAACCAGTCAAATCAGATTATTCTTCCTCATCCTTCTGCATAATTCATCAAGAAAAAGGCCATTTAAGTTCCTTGAACCCTTCCCTTCATGAAATTGCTAATCATTATTAGTTTGACGCAGGAATTATTGATGATTAATTAAGATATAATGCAAATTATTCATACCAACCAAATAAAATAAAATAAAAACAATTTATACAAATTCATCAAATAAATAAATACATTTTTTTAAGTCCACATAACAATTATTCTCTCAATTCAAGGCATATTTAGCCCAGTTTTCGAATCCTAAGTTTGGATGTATGAATATATCCTTAATTAAATTATCTAAGTTTTATATTATCCAATTATAGGCAAAGTGGTCACATTCATCTGATTCAAAATGATTGAATCCTAATCAGAAAAATGCCACGGAATTGATGAAAGCAACAGCTTTACTTAATACAATCATATAATGAATGATACAACAAGTTTTCATATTCTTTTTTGGTTTGATGGAATCCAAAGAACACACTCATAATATGTGTTTTATTCATCAGTAGAACAGAAAGGTTAAGGGGAAAATTTACAAGAGAAAAAAAAAATCCTACTGAAATGTTGCAGGGAAGACACAGAAGTCTCTCTCCTTGCATCCATTAAGCTCCTACTACCGGCAAAGCCTCCATTTTTATTCCCTGCTTAACTCTATCTATGAACTCCTCAAACTTCTTATTCAATTCATCGATAGCCAATTCCTCCATTTCTCCCACAACTTCTTCATCATCTTCTTCCTCTGCCGAACTATCATCAGCAGGCTTCACCTTGTCGACTTCCTTTGTCTCCACCTTTTTCACCAGAACCTGAGGGTTTTCCTCCACGGTTATCTTCTTCAATGGATAAATCTGCGAGTTTTCCACCGCAGTTATATTCTTCGTCTGCAAAAGCTGCGAGTTTTCGGCCAAGTTCTGAGCAGGGCGGCCAGCGGCTTTAGGTTTTTCAACAGAGGAGGCGAGCAAACCGGAATCTTTGGCGATGAATAGGAGGATGGCATTGAAGAAGCAGAAAATAGCCTTCTTGTTAAGGAAGTGCTTCAAGGAGTTGAATTGGTTGAAGAAAGTTTGATTGAATTCCCGATTGAATGACAGAAGGAAGGAAAATATTGAAAGTAGGAAGAATACTGAAATTACTCTTAGTATGTAGCTCTTCTTCCTGAGCTTGAAGAAGAGATTTTGGAGCTTCCTCTGATTTTTGTCCATCGCTGTGTTGTTTGAGTCTGTTCTGTGCTCTGTTTTGGAAGGGAAAATAGCCGTTTATAAGAAAGGTGTACTTGGTTAAAATTACGAGAATGGCCTGCAGATGAGAGATTGGCTGCTCGGAACATAACAGCTTAGGTTGTTTTGGACTAGTGGAAAAATGACAAGGGTCATATTAGATGGCGTATTTGTTCTCGTTAGTCTTCTGGGGCATGCCTGAGGTTTGAAATTTTCAGCGGTTCATTATTTCGGTAAGGACCGGGAAATGATGGAAGGCGACCCGAAGTCTTCCAACTGCTTTGAGCCGATTCGGTCCAGGTCAATTAAAAAGTTTTTTTTTTTTACCGTCTTTACAGAAGAAAAGATAGAAAAGGAGTATTTTTTAATTATTTTTGTACTAAAAAAAATAGAAGCCTCAGTTGATCTCTTAACTTCAGATTAATATTTTCAAAATATTATTGTATTATTTGGCAATGTAACTTTGTTTTTATTGTGTTTTATTTTCTTTTTGTGAATGATTTTTCTTAGATAACTTAGTATTAATTTTATTTTATGGATTGTCTGATAATTTTATTTGATTGTAATTTTTTAAAAATTTGAGATAATTTTTTCATAGCTTAATTATAAATATAAATTTTTTTTACTTTATTTTCTATTTTTAATATTTTTGAACTTTATGTTGATAAGAAGTTTCGCGCAATCAATTTATTAGAATATGATAATTATTAAAATTATGTTGTGACTTATTTTAAAGCTAAATCTATAATAATCGCAATATATTTTAACAGTATTATTATTATATATATAACTTATATATTTGCATAATTAATGCATTAATTGTGAATTTTCCGACTAATCATTTTATATTGGAAGTCAAATAAAATTTTAAGTGATTATCAAGATAAAATATCAAATTTCGTATATGCTAATTCTTTTTCTTATATTATTATTATTTGATATGAAAAGATTATCTCTTATGTGGCCAACTTTGATTTGCCCAAAAAAAAAAGGACCTCTGCTTATGTGGATACCATATGACGCGAAGGAGCGCGGGCAGTTGAGCGATATTCCACGACGCAAAGGCATTGACGTTGACCCAATCAATTCCCAGTTTCCACACACGTAAATTGCAACCTGTCATAAAATTGTAAAATTTGCAATTTACCAAATGTTGACTAGCTTTAACACATAATTATATGCAATTATAGTGTTGATATCTCGTCAAAATCAAATAAGAATTTTAATTCACGTTTAAATGAAAATTTTTAAAATCATTTGAATGTTGATTTAAGCAATTTTTTGTTAGATTAATGCTTCGTTTGGATGGCTTTCTTACTATAGCAGTTTCTTCGTACAAAAATATTTAATTCAAAAAAAATTTTGTACTAAAAGGTGCTTTAAAAAAGCAATAAGAAAGCCGCCTCAAACAAAGCCTACATAGATCGATGGACCACCATTGTCGAACCAATTCCGTGCAACTACCGCCTTCAAATCATCACCATTGGACAACGCCCTTCGATTACAATCACCTTATTATAGCCCTACATGTAAAGTTGCTCTACAAACACGCCCGATTATGATTGCTCTACCACCATCGTTCAATTATGATATGTCGATCATTGTTGACCAATTATGATCCTTATATCATACTATGGCTCAACTGTAATTTTCCAACCATCATCGGCCAACTACATTCTTTTAACTATATTAATGTATGCAAACTTTGTTGTTCAATATCAATAGCATTGGCATATGTCATTGCCAATAAAGTTGATGCACACTATCAATATCTACTTTGACTTTCTATATCAATAGTAGTGTCTATTAGATATAATAAAATTATTCATTTATTACTTCTATGTAATGAGGTGGCCGGAACAAAGGCCGTTCATCCTCCAACACCAATTCAAATCAACGTCCCTCCTCTGCATCCTCCCTTATCTGCCAGATATGCTTCAAGAAAAGCCACCCAACAGCCACTTGTTGGCATTGGTTGAATACAAATTACGTACTGTAATTCTCCAATTCGCCAAACAAAGCTTTAGTCGCTGGCCAAAGTAACTCCTACATAGATTGATATCTAAACTTGGGAGCTTCCTCCCATCTTACCAACTCCCTTAACAATTTGTCAATCTTATCCCCTTATCAAGGCTCTGACACTATTACCATAGGTGATGGGCGTTTAGTTAATATTGCTCATTCTAGAGCATGTTTGCTACCGACACGCAAGCTAAATTTATCTCATCTCCTTCACACACCTTCTTTAAATTACAATTTGTTATTTATTTCTCAACTAACAAAATATAATAATATCTTGATTATTTTTTACCCTTCTAGCTTTATCCTCAAGGATTTGAAGACTCAACACGTGTTTCTTCGTGGGCCATGCGGTAATGGCTTATAATCCATTCGTACTACCTCGTACACTCTTCCGCAACTGGCGCTACTTGCTACTACTACTTGCTCAAATCATTGGCACAACCGGTTGGGACACCCTAACAAGTGTGTGCTTCATCTAATTGCTTCTTGTAATCCGCAGCTTCGAATAGATACAAATGTTACTTCTTGATATTCTTGTAATAAGGCTAAGGGCCACAAACTAATCTTTCCTAAATTTGAAAAATTGTAGAGAAACTCTTGCTTTAATTCACGAATGTCTAGAGACCGACTCCTGTTGTATCTACTTCTGGATATGGTTACTATGTCATATTTGTTGATGACTTTTCTCTGTTTACGTGGTTATTTCCAATACATAATAAATCAGAAGTAACTAATATATTTATCAATCAAAACTCAAATAAAAAAGCTAACCTCATTTCAAATTAAATGCATTCACAATGATAGAGGTGGTGAATACCTCAATCATACGCTTAATACATTTCTTCAAACTCATGGCATCTTACACCAAATTTCATATCCTTATACTACGTAACAGAATGACATCATTGAACGAAAACACCGTCATATCATTGTAACAAGCCAGACTCTCCTTCAAACAACGTCGGTCCCTTACAAATACTGACCCGATGCCGTTCTGACGTCTGTTTATCTTAAAAATCGAATGCCATCTTCCGTCACTCTTAACATTCCACCATTCGAATTATTTCATCAAACTAAGCCAGACTATAGTCATTTACGCATTTTTGGTTGTGAATGTTTTCCCCTCATTCCTCCTCAGCTTCGTCACAAACTTCAACCAAAATCTAAATCATGCATGTTCTTGGGATATTCAGACATCTATAAAGGTCACAAGTATCTTTATATGAAATTAAGACCTTAGGCTTTCTCCAGTACCATGAATATCCTTGATACGTCACAAAAATCACCTTGATTAGGAACAAATCTTGATGCAAATATGAATTGGAAACTTCCAAAATTAAATCTGGGACCATCTAAACTCCAAATTTAGCAAACTTATAATCAAATTCAACGTATCAAGGAGACGAACTCAATGACACCAAATTCGATCCAATCCGAGCCCAAATGAACTCAAGCTAAAGTACTATAACATTTTTGAAAGCTTCAAAGTATTAATAGGATGATCAAATGATATTCAAATATGACATGCTTACAATCGAATCAAGCAGATCGATGAGACGAATCCAACGAGCCTAACATTGCTTAAATTCCGACATCATCATGGCAATTAAATGATTGATAAATACTTCATAATTGAGGGAATTATTACAGGTTGTCCGATGGAGCGCTTTGAATTTACATTGAATCTTCTCCATATTTAAGAGGCATGACGCTCTTAAAATGTATAAATAAACCCCCCTCTTATCACATGTGGGGGGGGATGTAGGTGACTTTTTTGGAGAAGGCTTAGACTATGGGCTAGAGATTAAAGAGAGTTCTGAGACTTGAAGAATCCTAGAGCTCCAACCTGACACCATTTCTGACGAACTCTTGTAGCATGGTCACCATTTCTCGACCTCCTCCCAACTATAGTCATCAAACCTCTATCTAGTCATTATCGCCGACTCTCTGCCTGACCTCCGTCGCTTGCCGACTACGCTCCTTTTAACTACCTTTGCCCGCAAAATGTGGTCCCTCTGACCTCCATCATTCGTCGTCTACGGTCACTCCGACCACCATCTCCTACCGATTACAATTCCTTCAACTATCGTCATCTGACATATGGTCCTTTTGATCATCGTCTCTCGTCGACAATGGTACTTATGACCACCGTTGCCCGACTACGGTCCTTCTGACCACCATCGCCTACGAATTACGATTTGTACGACCAGTGTTGCCTAACTACAGTCCTTCTCACTTCCATTACCTGTCGAATATGGTTCTTCTAACCACTATTGCTTGACTACTGTCCTTTCAACCTTTATTGTCCGTCGACTATGATCCCTTCAACCACCCTCTCTTGACTACGGTCCTTCTGACCGCCTTTGCTCGCCGTCCTGTTCATAACTTCACAAAAATCTCCCAGCTATTGCAGACGAAGAATATAACTGCGGTTGAAAACTCACAGATTTATCCAGGGGGGGGGGGGGGGGGGGACTTTTTTGGGGGGTAGGTGACTTTTTTGGAGTAGGCTTAGACTATGGGCTAGAGATGCAAGAGAGTTCGGAGACTTGAAGAATCCTAGAGCTCCAACCCGACACCATTGCTGACGAACTCTTGTAGCCTGGTCACCATTTCTCGACCTCCTCCCAACCATATTCATCAAACCTCTATCTAGTCATTATTGCTGACTCTTTGCCTGACCTCCGTCGCTTGCCGACTATGCTCCTTTTAACTACCTTTGCCCGCAAAATGTGGTCCCTCTGACCTCCATCATTTGAAGCCTACGGTCACTCCAACCAACATCTCCTACCGTTTACAATTCCTTCGACGACTATCGTCATCTGACATATGGTCCTTCCGACCATGTCTCTCGCCAACAATGGTACCTATGACCACCGTTGCCCGACTACAGTCCTTCTGACCACCATCACCTACGAATTACGATTTGTACGACCAGTGTTGCTTAACTACAGTCCTTCTGACTTCCATTACCTACCGACTATGGTTCTTTTAACCACCATTGC